ATCGCTCTCGTCAGATGGGTCCTCCCTCAAAATCCTGTCCTTCCACAGCTCCTTCCTTCTTCACAGCTTCACCAGGCCGGCTTGCCACAAATATTAAGTAAAAAATATATTGCTCTGTCTCAATGGGAGAGCTACCTCCCTTTCTCTAATGCCAATCTTTTCACCTCTTTCAATCTGGAGCCCCCACCCTCCTGCTTCCTCAGAGACTCTGCCTCATCAAGGTCTGTGCCATCTACACATAAATGGGCTCATCTCTCTCCTATATTTAAAACAAAATGAAATTAACAACATTTTCTTGTCCCTTGTGCCCTACTGTCTATAAGAAACACTCTCACCTTCCCATCATAGCCAAGCCTCTTCAAACTGTATACCATATTCCTTATCAGTCCTTCTTCATGCTCACTCCCCAACCCTCTACAATCTGCCTTCTCTCCTCCCGCAGCACTGATGTCGTCATTGACCTCCTAATTGCCAAATCTAATGAACATGTTTTTTAAATGTTTTATAGTGTGTTTTATCTTATTACAAGAGGGGTACACATCATGAACAAAGTTATGACATATGACAGACTAGAGAGAAAAAAACTTGCACTATATAACAGGCAATGGGTAAATATTCCTAATAAATATACTGTTCTTATAAACAAATTAAATATATAACCCAAAAGAAAAATGTGCAAAGGATATTAAAGAGTAAGTCTCAGGAAAAATACACATAGCTAACACACATGAAAAGATACTCAGCCTCACTAGTGATCAGAGAAATGCAAGTTAAATCAGTTAGATACTATTTTTCACCTATCAGATTGGCAAAAATTAAAAAGACTGTCCATCCTCAGCAAGGGCCTGAGGAAAAGCAGTCTCAGTGGTGAGAGTGTAAACCTTCTTGGATGTCACTTTGGCGATGCTCATTCACATTTTTAAATGTACATATCCTTTGACCCAACAGTTCGCCTACTAGAAAGCTATCCCACAGAAATATTTATGTGTGTGTATGTCTATATCTATAGCCATCCTCGAGCATTGTACAAAGATGTTTATTGCAACCTTGTAGTGGCTTAGACCAGAGTGATAGGCAGAGGAGATGGAGACATGTGGCAGAATATATGACACAGCTGGAAGGTCAGGTCAACAGGACTTGCTGACGAATTGGATGCGGGGGGGTGAAAGAGAGGAATCAAGGGTGACCCTAGGTTCTTGATCTGAGCAACTGAATGGATGATAGTGCTATTTTACTGAGATAGGGGAGGCTGAGGGAAGGGGCTGGGGATGTGAGAGGAATAAGGAGTCCTGTTTGGCCATGCTACGTTTCAGATATCTATATGACACCCAAGTAGAGATGTCAAACAGGCCACTGGACAAATGAAGCTGCAGCTTAGAAGAAAGGCTTGGGTCAGAGACATAAATTTGGGAGTGATGAGGTGTATAGATAGACGGTATTTAAAGCCATGGGGCTGGAGGAGTGTTTCTAGGAAGATTCTGGATGGAGAAAAGTCCACGGACTGAGCCCTGCGTCACTCCAATGTTCAGAAGTTGGGGAGATAAATTTAGTAGAAGAAGGGGCTGAGCAGAAGTTTTTTGTACAAACTTGAGTTTCAAAGAAGTTAACATAAATCAGATGGTGGAGAATCACATACGTACCACCGTAACAGGGGGCCCAACTCCTTCCAAGCCTGTCTTTTAAGGGATTCTAGCGTTTTTTTCTTTCTGGATATTTCAAAATACATTTAAACATAATAGAACTTTTTTTCTTTTATGTTGCATAGTGGTTTCCTCACACTGTATAATTCTCCTAGTATAAAACTAGTCAAGTACTACACAAGTAGCACTCAGCAATGGCTTTTTCATAAAATTCATAATCCGATAACTACCTCATGCCTAAAAGGCTAAGGGTGACTTGCGGTCAGAAGCTTAATTCGCGGCATCTTTTATCCTTTTGGGCTGTTTGCTTCCCTACTGCACAGTAACTTGCACCTGCTTCTTACTTACGCTTACACCAAATGCCTAAAACACCTCAAAACATCTGACAATCCATGTCCCTTCCTCTCAGTGCAGCCCCCCTTCCCACCCACAAGAAGCACAGCATCTTTACATTTCCACTTTAAACTTTAGAAGTTTCCATTCAGAGACTCATGCCTTAAAAAAAGAGAGGAAGTACTTCCAACTAGGTCCAAGTTGTCATCAGGAATATAATCTGAAAGCAAAACTCAGCAGAAGGAAAGCTGTGTGAGAACTGGGCCTGAGGCAACCTTATAGCTATAGGGTGACTGACTGGGGACACTTAGTTTCAGGTCCAGGAGAGCACAAAAGAGGCCCAATTCCTAGAACGGTCATGTCATTCATTAATTCATTTAACAAATATTAGTAAGCACCTATGAGGTGCCAGGCTCTGTTTTGGGTGCTGGGATCCACTGGTGAATAAGACAGACAGAAATCCCGGCCCACATGGAATTTACATTATGGAGTGGGGAGAGGAACAGACAATAAAAAAGAAAAATGAATAAAATACACAATATGTTACACTGGAGTAATAAGATAGAGAAGAGGCATATAGAATGTTCAGGGAAGGGGTTGCAAGTTTAAATAGGGTGGTTAGGGAAAGCAGGTGAAAAACAACTAAGAGAGGTGTTAGGGCTTTCCTAAGGTGTAAATAAAGTGCTTTAGGACACAGGATAACTGGTAATTCTGCTTAGGGGAAGGAATTGTGTGTTCAGTAAGGTTGTCCCAAAGGAAGTGACTTTAAAGCTAAATCTTGAGAGATGAATAGGAATCAATGGCAGAGGAGTGAGTCTGAATGGCAAGTTATCTTTTCAGGGGGAAAAAAAAAGGAGCAGCTTGAGCAAAGGCCCAGAAATGGGATCAGGGAGGACATTTTCTCCTGGACTGTCCCTGCCTAAGGTACTCCATCCATCCCAAGAACACACTCACCCTCAGGCTCCCTGGTCTGGTTGCTGGGAAATCCTTATCACTTCCCACACTCTCATTTCTCCCCTAGCCAGCAGGAAAGGAAGGAGTTGAGTCAGCCCTAGGATCCAAAGTTACCCTCTCCTAACTTCAGGACAATTACTACAGAGCTGAGAGCCCCAGAGGCTTCATTCAGGCGGGTACACTCAGGGGTGTGTGCTTTTAGTGGCAACGTGGCAATTGGCCCCATGTTGGAAGTAAAGTGGGCAAGTGGGGAAAATACCAGTGAGGTAAGTAGTCAAAAGTCTCCGCAGTGCATCTGAGGTGGAGGCAAGGACCAAAACTTATGCTTCAGCTTGGAAGGGAAATTTTTAATCACTTAGTCCTCACCTATGAGCTATTTAGTGTTCCCAACATCTAAGACAGCACAGGTGGTGTGACAGGGGATAAGAACACAAGCCCTGCAGTCAGATGGCCCAGCTCTGCCCTTCACCAGTTGGGTGATTTGGGGCAAGGCACTCAACCTCTGAGTCTCCTTTTCACCATAACATGGTTACAATTGTAGTGCACAGAGTTACCATGAGGATTATATGAGATAGTTATGTATAGAATTTATCACAGTGCCCAGCTCAATGGATTCTAACAACCATTATTAGTAGCAGCCTTGAAGGGGAAAAGCCCAGAGAGCATCAACCAGAAAGCTACCCTCACTCACAGATTATGCCTGAACAGGCCTCCAAACTCCATTTCACTGCTCCCACCTAGAGTGAGGCACCTGAAATTATGTTATCAGAAATGTTCATTCCCTGCCAGGGAAATCATTTGGTTAGCCAAGTTAGTGGTCTTTTTCCACTAGGATTTCCAGCAGGTGCTAAAAAAACTACGACAACAAACTTCATCAGGGACTCAACTCTTTGCATTAAACATTGTTCTCTCCACAGACCAGCGGGTAAACACATTAGGTCATTAACACCTTAATATTAATGGATTTATGAGGGGTGGGGGTGGGGAGCTGAAAGAGCAGAAAAGAAACCAGTTAAAAATAGGAGGTCCAGGATGTACTGAAGACTAATTTCTGTCACAAATGTACAAGGTCTAAGGTCCACCCTGCCAAAAGCAGTATTCTGGAATGCTAGGTCCTCTCGTCCTGAAGAAGCAGGGTGCTGGGGAAAGAAACTGTCAGTTAATGAGAAACAGACCACCTGTTCAAGTCGCCAGAATTCTAACCAAATGAGTTCACTACCAAAAACCCCAACCATCTCATCCCACGTGAATGGCTGGAGGCCCATCTCTCTGCCCCTTTGCAAAGTATCACAGAAGACAAAAGCGTTCCGTGCCCCTTCTAAGGGTTCTGGGGACCCTCCTCCAGGAGCAAATCCCCGCAGCCTGCCTGAAGGGTCGCAAGATAAAGCTGTTCGGCTCCAGGGCACACAGCCGGGTCCCCAGTCCCTAGCGCAGAGGGAGTCCACTGAGGCAGGACTCGGGGCCAACTGGCCTCCAGCCCTTACCTGAGGCGGACAGACCGAGGCCAGGGAAGCCGACGCCACGACGTCCAAGGTCCGGAAGCAGTGCGGGGCCGAGACCCCGCGCGACGGGCCGGGCGCTGCGAGAGGAACCGCGGAGAAGGTGACTCGACGCCTCCGAGGGCGCAGTGCCCGCTAGGCAGCCGGCCGCATCCCCGCCGCCAGGGCCAGCGCTCGGGCGGCCCCAGCGCCGGCGGGCGGGAAAAGCCGAGCCGCCCGGCACGAGGCGAGCCAGGGAGGAGGCAGAGCCGGAGGGGCACAGCCCGCGCTAGCGACGGGTGGGCCGGGGCAAGGGCCCGCAGAGGCCCAGGAGACAGCAAAGTGGCGGAGAGGGACCGGCCCAAGCAGACCGGAGTCCAAGCGTGGGCGTGCGGTCCAGACAGGCAGACAGGGCAGAGGGGACGGGCGGTCAGCTAGAGCCGGGGAGGAGGAAAGAGTGGGAGAGCGGAAGGGAGGAGGGGAGGGCGCGGCTCCCCGAGATGGGGGTGGGGGCGCTTGGGCAGCGAAAAGGGGCTGGGGGCCCAGGAGGAGCCCCAACCCAGGGCGAAGGGGCGGTCGCTAGCCGCGGACTTACCTGTCACCTGCAACAGGTGCCGCGAGAGGGCGAGATGTCCCAGTGCCGGATTCAGGGCAGGGTCTCCGACTCACAGAAGACCGCAGCCCAGCTCCGGCGGCCTGCCCTATTCACCCTCCCGGGAGGCGGAAAAAGCTGCAACTTTCCCTAGAGCGGGGAGGAGCTGGGCTCTTAAAGGGGCCGCACAGCGCTCCGGGCTCCTTAGTAGGGGGCCGCGCCACCCGAAGGGGAGCTCTGGGAGCCACAGCCTTAAGGCACTGGAGAAATGTCGTCCCGGGTTAGAAAAGGGAGCTTGAGGACTGGAGATAGGGGTCTAACACTAGACCTGCCCCGCCTTTTACTTCCATCCGTGGTCACTCTCTCAGATGATAAATCACTTGCCTCTTGCGCTCTGCTGAGCCAAAAGTTGTCAAACTGTCGTGTACAGTGGGATTCGTGTCTAAGACGATGCAGAGTCTAGACCATAAAATTTTAGAAGATAAAATATGATACTATTCTGATCCTTTGACTTTCATACTTTTATGGCAAATACAAGTCTGTCTAAAATAGAAACATTTTGGGCAAAAGACGTAGACTAACTTCACACCCACAAACACAACTGGTTAAAATATTCAACTCACTAGTAATCAAAGAAGAGCAAATGAGAACAATAATGAGATTCTTTGGCAAAGGAATTTTTGTTTGTTTGTTTTTATAACACTTAATGATGACAAAGTGGCCACCAAACAAGCTCTAACATAATTCCTGGGAAGAGTGTATGTTGGTTAAAAATCCTTTTAAAAAGCATATGACCAATATATATCAATAGATTTTTAAATGTTTATATCTACCTAGTAATTGTTGATTCCTTTCCCCTTCTCTCTCTCCCACCTTTGCTCTCCCTCTCTTTTTCTCATCAGCCATTAACCCTGCTCAAGTCCCTCTCATCTGTCATCAGCAATTAAACATGCTCAAATCTCTGGCATCTTAAAAAAAAAAGTCCTCCCTACATCCTAGGTACCTCTCCAGCTCCTCTTTAAGGGCAAATTTATTGAAAAGGTACTTTACAGGTACATTTGCAATCTCCATTCCCTTACTTCTCATTCAGCAATTTGGCTTCCTTCCCCAACACTTCACTGAAATTGTGCTCAACAAGATACCCAACCAATGACCTCCCTGTCAATAAATCTATGTCAATAAATAAATAAATAAATAAATAAATAAATAAGGCTTTTTCCCTCATTATCTTGCTTGACCTCTCCCCTACATTTAACGCTGTTAACCATTCTCTCCTCCTTAAAAGTCTTCCTGTGGCCTCTATGACTCCATACTCTTTTGGTTTTCCTCCTACCCCTTTGCCCTCTCCTCAGTCTCCTTTGTAGATTCCACTCTGTTATCTAACCTCTGAAAGCTGGACACTCTCAGGACTGGGCTACATATACTCTCTCCCTAAATGATCTCTTTCACTCACTTGGCTTTAATTATCATCTATATGACCACGACTGTGATTTTATAGCTCTGTCCAGAGCTCTTCACTGAGCTCTGCTTTCTTGACATGTCCACTTGCATGTCTGGCAGGCACCTCAAACTCAACACATCTAAAGCTGAACCCACCATCTTTCCTCTTAAATTTGCTGCTCCTCCAGTGTTTCCTATTTCAGTAAATGACAACATGCCATCCAAGTTAGAAACTTGGCACCTAGCATAGTGCCTGGCACATAGTAGGCCCTCACTAATATTTGTAGAATGAATGAATGAATGTGTCCTAAGGAAACAGAGACATTTGCAAACTTTTTCTACAACAATGTTAATCCTAGTATTACTTACAATAATAAAATACTAGAAAAAAAAACCTAATGGTTCAATGGTTAAGTAAATTATAGTATAATCATACGATGGAATAATAGCCAACAAAACTGGTATTTACACATAGTTCATAATGACAGGAAAATGCTTATGTCTAATATTAATTGAAAGTAGGATACAACATTTAATATAAAATATTGTCACAATAATTAATGGAAATTGGGGGATAGGTGTGGAAAAAAGACTAGAAAGAAATATGCAAAATATTAATAGTGGCTATCTCTAGGTGGTAGAACTAAATGAATTTTTCATTTTCCTCCTACTTTTCTGTATTTTTCAACTTTCTTATAATGAGCATATATGGCTTTGATAATATAAAACATCTTTTTTGAAAAATATTAAAAGGGAAAGAGAAAAATCATTTTAATTCTGGCAGACAAAACAGTAAAATTCAGCTCCCAGGCTCTCCCCACAGTTTTTTTCCATCCTTTAGCCCTTCAATACCCACCTGCAGCCTGAAGTGTGAAGAAACCACTTCAAAAAGGAAATCCTTTTGTTTTGTCTAGCTTTGCCAGCTCAGTCCTTGGGGCCTCTCTGCTCAGCCCTAGGCTTTGAATGTGTTCCACCTCTCTAACATGACCTGTGGAAACTCCCACCAAGCTCTTCTCTGCTCCTTCTTTGCAGTTGGTACTTGGCAGGAACTGGAAACACCCTTGGCCGGAAGGGACTTCAGAAAACATTTAGTCCAATCCCCTTATTCTTCAGCAAAATTTCCAGATGTTATTTTAGGTTTTTTACCTTTTTCTATGTGTGCAGTTTCTCACTCGCCAAGGTCCACCTCATTAAAGAGGATGTAAGGATCTGACTCCTTTACTCTAAGATAGTCTCACTGAACCAGCTGGAAATACACAGAGACAAGCATAAACAATGAACCAAAACCAAGTTCGTCAATGGCCTGTTCACATAGATTCTGTGCTTTGCAAACTGCTGTCCATTTCTGTTTGATCCTCCTTGTTTGCCACAAAGACTCTGTGCTCAAATTCTTATGCCAAATACTGAGAGGGGTCCAATGCAAGCAAACCCAGGCAGTATCCTGTGCAGCAATGTAAACAGGAACTTATGGATTATTATCCTATGTATAGTATGTAAGCTCCTGTCTCATAGTGAATGACTGGCTTCAATGAGTTGTTCAACTTTGCCACACTGAGGAAGTTCTGGCTGGTGCAAACTAATAAGATGGAGATTTTCCTCAGCCCCAGGTGACAGGATGCCTCAGTATTGAGCAATTGCTCATTCTTAAAAGTATTAAATATTTCAAAAGTACATGAATATATAGAGAATAATATAACAAGGATATGCCCACTACCCAGGTTAAGAAATAAGGCATTACCAATACAACAGAAGCCCTCTGTATACACCTCCATCCTAAGGTTTTCACTGTCTCAGATTTTATCTTGATCATTTGCATGTATGTCTTTATACATTTGCCACATATGTATCTATCCCAAAACTATAGGTAGTATCACTCTGTACGTACGGTCTGCAATTTGCTATCTTCACTCAAGATTATGCTTAGGAGATTTATCCCTATTGATATATGTAGCTTTAATTCATTCACTTTTACTGCTATAGAGCATTCCAGGCGTAAAGATATTGTAACTTATATATCTGTTTTTCTATTGATCAAGTACTTTTTTCAATTGCCAAGTCTTTTTTTGTGTGTGTGTGAGGAAGATCAGCCCTGAGCTAACATCCGTGCTAATCCTCCTCTTTTTTTTGCTGAGGAAGACCGGCTCTGAGCTAACATCTATTGCCAATCTCCCTCCTTTTTTTTTATTCCCCGAAGCCCCAATAGATAGTTGTACGTCATAGTTGCACATCCTTCTAGTTGCTGTATGTGGGACGCAGCCTCAGCATGGCGGGAGAAGCAGTGCGTCTGTGCGCGCCCGGGATCCGAACCCCGGGCCGCCAGTAGCGGAGCACGCGCACTTAACTGCTAAGCCATGGGGCCGGCCCCGCCAAAGTCTTAATTCTGGATGCCAGGACACTACCTCTTCATTTCCTGTTGGGTAACAGTTTACTTTTGTAAAAAACAACAAAAAATGCAGGCTTCCTGACAAAGCAAATTTAGTGCACTAATGGTCCTCAGTGAGTATAGGGTGTAAAAAGTAGATTCAGTCTCTTATTCACTCAAGATCAGGGTTTCTCCACCTTCGCACAATTGACATTTTGGGCCAGGTAACGCTTTGTTGTGGGGGCTATCCTGCGCATTGTAGGATGTTTAGCAGCATCTCTGGCCTCTACCCACTAGATGCCAGTAGTGACAACCAAGAATGTCTCCAGATATTGCCAAATATCCTTAGCTGAGAACCACCAGTCGAGATGTACTGAGCACCCATTATATGCAAAGCACTTTATAGGTGCTATGGGAAGAAAGAAGATGAATAAACACTGAAAAAAAGTCCTTTCATTCAAAGATATGTTCGAGGGCCGGCCCCGTGGCTTGGCGGTTAAGTGCGTGCACTCCACTGCTGGCGGCCTGGGTTCGGATCCCGGGTGCGCACTGACGCACCGCTTCTCCGGCCTTGCTGAGGCCGCGTCCCACATACAGCAACTAGAAGGATGTGCAGCTATGACATGCAGCTATCTACTGGGGCTTTGGGGGGAAAAAATAAATAAATAAAATCTTAAAAACAAACAAACAAACAAACAAACAAAAAAAAAAAACAAAGATATGTTCGAGCTTCTACTATGTGCAAAGCATATTGTGCCAGGCACTGGGATTTTAGTGACCCTTTCCTCAAGGAATTCACAGTTTATTGCATGACATGGGGGGAGGCAAACCACAAACATAAAATTATAATATAGTGTGGAAAGTGCAAAGCTGGGAGATACACAGGATATGTGGGAGCACCTAGGAAGGCCACTTACACCAGCTTGGTGGGGAGTGGTCAGTGAAATGTCCCTGGATAAAGTAATAGCTTCTCTGAATCTTTAAGAATGAATAGGAATTAGCTAGACCAAAAAGGCATTCCAAGCATTCCAGGCAGAAGAATAGCAAAAGCAAAAACAAAAAGGCTGGAAACTCTAGGTCTATACAAAGGAAGTACAAGGAAGTTGGTATTGCTGGAGCATAAAGTGCAAGAAAAAAGTGATGATAGATGAGGCTAGAAAGATGATGTATTAATTTGCTAGGACTGCCATAGCAAAGTACCACAAACTGAGTGGCTTAAATAACAGAAACTTGTTGGCTCACAGTTCTGGAGGCTAGATGTCTGAGATCAACATGTCTACAGGGTTAGTTCTTTCTGAGGGCTGTGAGGAAAACTCTAATCCCATCTCCCAGCTCTTGGT